ACGATTATGTTTTGGAATTGTCGTTACTACCATTACATTGGGATGATTTCGATATGACCCGTAACCCAAAAGGGCCAACGCAAGGTATAGTCCTGCTGAGCACCGGACATGTAGTTTCCTTACCGGGTACCCAACAGAAGACCCTTCGCGCGGCGAGAAAGCAAAGACGCAGACGGGTCAGCGGACGAGTTGACCTGCTGTGTAATGGGACGCACTATAAACATTCTATATAACTTGACGTGGAAATCATTGCAGTACGCGCTGCAACTCGTCCGCCGACCCGTCTGCGTCTCTGCCTTCTCGCCGTGAGAGAGGCCTCCTGTCGCGTACCCACTCCCCCATCCAGAGCGTCACAAGGATGCATTTTCATCGAGTCGGAGATGCAGAATCTGATTCAGCCCTAACATCAACAATCTGCTGTCGATAATTTGGCATTATCGTTGTTCCATCCCGGAAAAGAACTAACAAAACTCACGTAAAATGTGCTGTGCGGTCTGGCTAATGATGTTGTACGCAGTGTCGATGTCATTTTCAGGAGGCGTTCTCTGCGCAAACGCAAAATCGGATGACGAATCGGTCGTTCAGAGAAGCTGGCACCTAGTCTCAAAAGTCTTTAGAGTTCAATAATGCCACATATGGAGGGGTGCGGGACTTTCTCAATTGAGGCTTCGGTCGGGCGAGTTTACCGCTACACAAGCACAAGCTTCGGTCTACGGGCTAATTGAACTCGACCCTTTGAACCCTCTCAATTCAATGATCTCGTCTGCTGTCTTTCGCCTTATAGCGGCTCCTGACTACGTGATCACACTTTCAAAATTTCGCCACACATTTGACTCACAAGGAAAGAGGGTGAAAATCGGTCGAGGAAACGGCAACGGCTCGTCGAGGATTTCGCCTGATCCTCACGCTCTCCGCGCGGATATTCACTCTCGCCACCCGCGAGCCGTCTGTGCTCTCCGCGCGTACATTCACTCTCGGCACTACTCTCGCACAGTAGAGAGCCATGGTCGAGGAATTCCTCGACCGTTATTCACCCTGCCGGAATCCCCCTCTCCGAGCGAAGCCTTACTCGCACCTTATTTAAGATCTAAAGCCTAGCCAAGCACCGTTCGCAAATCGTGCTCTAGCGATTCCCGGCAGACGTGGGGGAAAGTTCAAGTAGCCATATAACCCAATTGCTTCAGAGCAGTATCAGTTGCGCGCGGCGTAACCGCCAGAATTCGCGACAGCAGTACTTGTATACT